GACACGGTGCCAGGACAGGACCGTGCTCCCCGCAGCAGGCTGCTCACCGGTGCTGCAGCTCAGCGGGGCAGGAGCAACCAGGACGGTTCCCTACCACGACACTGCTGCCCCACTGTCCAGCGGCGTTTGCATCCGCACCACCGTTCTCGGTAAGCTCCAGTCTAGGGATGGGTTAGGTCTCACCGCCGTCTCCACGGGGAGATGCTGAGAAGGGGGTGAGAGCACGGCCCCGCACCCTGGCAGGAGTGGGGGGAGCCCACATCTGTGCCACCAGCTGCTCGCCCCAGGATTTGCTCTCTGCTGAGGCAGACGGCTGGAGCGGGGCCGCGTATCGCGGGGCAGACACTGGTGTCAGCACAATCCCACCAGCAAAAGCCTCCCTATTGGGCTCCCACCATGCCGAGGCCTCGGCAGACCACCCTCTGCAAAACCAACAGAGCTCAAGGGCTTCGGGAGAGCTGCAGATTGCGATGCCCCTGCAACAGAGACAGCAGCGGGGATTTGGAGGTGGCTGTGCCACCCATCCTGCGCACCACCCTGCGGCCGCCACGGCATGGTGAGCGGGTAATTTCTGATGCTGACAGATGACCCAGGACATCTTCCAAGCAATTCTGGGAAACAGCGAGAGGCTGCTCGCAGAATCGCTCCCCGCTGAACTCTCCTGCTAATGGGCTGCATCCGACAACACCCGTGCTGGGCCGCGCACCAGCAGGGCCGGGCACTTGCACCTTATCTCACACAATAAACTCCCCACCACCAAGTGCAGTCACTTCTGGGGTGGAACAGCAGCCTCCTAATCAGCTGCGTTGCACAACTGCGGCAGGCAGGAAGCCGGCCCGTGAGCCAGCACTGCCGGCAACAGCATCTTCATCGGCACTGGCAGCTCCTGGGAAGAACGGTCACCAGCACGGCTCACAGCATCGGGACCTTGATTTCAGATCGTACCCAGACAGCCTCTAGCCTCCCCTTCAGCAAAGTCCTCGCTCAGTGAAAACCCACCCATCAACCCACAGGAACCTGCCTTAGAGGTTCAAGACACAGGCAGCCGCCTTCCCACCCAGTCCTGTTCCTCGGCACCAGGAAGGAATGCTCTGTGGACATGAAGGATGGAGGAAAGCGGGGAAGCAATCTGCACATGCATGAGAGAGGGGATCTGCAGCCCCTAAGCCATCCCGTCCTGCTCAGCCCACCCTAGGAGCGGGCCCTGGGCACACACCAGGCGCTCCCGTGGCAGGCGGACACGCTCCTGAGCTGGGGTGGTTTGTGAGATGTTCAACAGACGCCATCGACATGAGCCTGCCCTGCAGATCTGCGGAGCCCAAACTCAGACAGTGCTCAGAGGCAGCAACTGAATACAAAGTGCGAGCGGAGGGAAGGTGTGCAGGCAGCAGGTCCCAGAGCCCGGCAGCACCGACGCTGCAGGGCGCCGGGCCCAAGAG